ATGAGGGAGAGGGAAAGAGATCGGTGGAATGAATTCCTCTCCAGTCCCTTCCCCGAATTCTCCCTCTCCAGGGTTGCTTGGGACAGAAGAGAGCCCCTCGACCGGATCCCCCCCCGAGTTCTCTAAATAGCTGATGGCTTCTATCGACGTAGTTCCCCAATCACTGAAACTCTGGAAGAAATTTCAGAGTCTGACCGAAATCTCACTGCGTATGGTTGTCATTTCTGCTCCCCACAGTCGAGGACACGTTCCTCATATCACTGCTGATCATCTGGCTGTGTATGGATTTCGAAGTAGCGGGACACGGTCGGCCATCCTTCCATGTTCCCCTTCCCAAGGTTGCCAGCATTCGTACACGCCTCATTTCCGTGTGCACAGCAGAAAATTAGCTTACAGCCTCCCGGAAGAAGAGCTCGGGAAATTTATTATCCCTAATGGAAAAAGGGTTATCGTGTGTCTGGGAAAGAAGGCGCTAGCTTGCAAGACCAAATCTGATGAGTGCATCCTATATTATGCACTCACCGATGATATTCACCACTCACCACAGATATGGACTAAAAAGGGGTACTTATAGTCAGGGCCGCCGAAAGGAATTATGAGGCCTGGGGCAAATGTCTATGTGAGGCACCCCTTGAACCTATGAAACCTGGAGGGGGGGTGATGCCGGCGTGAGGGGGTCCCCCCTAGGCATGGGGCCCGGGGAAATTTGCTCCTTTTGCCCCCGCCCCCCCTCTCTTTATATTACCCCCCCTTATAGTAATATTACCCTGTCAGAACCACAGACATACAGATTGAATGAGGGAGTTTCTGGCTGAAGCAGCGGACAGATCCTTTCCTGCTTCTGGGATGGCAGCAATACGAGAGGCAGTTCCTGCATGTCTCGGTCTGCACAAAGACATGGAGAAAACATCGATATTCGGGGAATGGGAGATGGTGCAGACCAGGGGTCTAAATCATACCCCAACTCAAAATCACTGCCTCGAACTCGCGGCCAGCGACCCACCAGCGTACACCAAGAGTGAAACGTTTCAGACCCAATATAAATGATAAAGTAGTGGTAGATTAATCATTCTACGATTTTACACCTTGGCCCGCAGAGAGGTCCTATCTTGGCGATGCAGGCCGCACACCGAAACGAGTTTGAGACTCCTAGTGTAGGCGTATAATGAGACAAATGGTGGATGTTCTCCTCAGTAATTCCCACCTAAAAACTTGTCTCGTAATAGGCTATTACGTCGAAATAAAGTCTCTTTTACGTAATATTTAGGCCATTTATTTCGTCGTAATAGCCTATCAAGAGACAAGTTTTATCCACCCTAATTCTTTTTGTCCCCGATATGGTGTGGGTAAAAATTCTGCCACCAGGGTGTTGCCGAGGAAGTAGGACAAGAAGTGGCGACTCGTGGATATACCAGTGGGTGGTAGCACCATATTGAATTGAGATCTCTCTTGGTGACATTAGATACATTTTTGATTTGGAGTTTTACAATTTTATTCCACGAGTTACAGGTTTCTTACCCCTCGTCTTTATCATAGTCCTCTTTTTTCAATTATAAACACAATCCAGACTTGACCTTATTTTCGTATGAAAAGTAGACTACGACACATCGTTCCAACAGGAAATAATGAGAGCAGAGGAACGCGATAAAAAGAAAACAAATCAATGTCGAAAATAGGCTTATAGACACTTGCCTCAGGCCTCATATTTACGCTTTCTACATGTGGAGATTCAGAGGCGCAACTGGGAGAGGGGACGGGCCATATCCTTGGGGGAAGAAATTAGAATGAACGAATGGAAGAAGAGTGACGACACTCAGGGATAAGGCATAAACACACAGACGCACTATGCCCGCTCGTCAAACTCGCCTAGCAACCTCCAGTTCAGCTTGCACCTTCGCGTAGCACCTCCCACTCGGTTGGGTCCTTATCACGCATCACTACCCATATTCCTCCTTTTGATCTTAAGATTGCACCTTTGTGGATATTTTCCTCAAATGGTGGGTAGTAGACGTCTCTCTGAAGGGTTGCGCAGTAAGCGCCTCGGAGAAGGGTAATAGATGTAATTTCATCCAGTGTAGGGTCTGCCCACGGTGTCGGACGTGACATTCGGAGTAATATGTTTAGTATACAAAATGAATTGAACTATATTATGGATGGCAAATCAGCATATACAGGCTGCAACAATTTGCTTTGGGTAGTGACTGAAAATTCCATAATCCAAAGTCTTGCACTCTCTCTTTTGTTAGAGGTATACCAATGTGCAAAGAAAAGTGTCAGACGTGACGTTGTGAACCCTCAAGTTAAAGTCAGTTGCTCTAATGTTCACATATCTGTCATCTAGCGGACCCTAATAATTTATAACAGAAAGTAAGCCTATTTTGTGACGGTGTTGGACGGGACAAGTTCTGAAAATATATTGAAACGGGAAGTCTGTACGCATCATTTAATTTATTTTAAAGATATCATTCAAATATGAACAAGTAACATTACTCTTCACAATTGAGCTGATTTGAAATTATTAATATCAGTATGCATGGAAAGCCCATGCTGACATCTGCTCCAGTAGTCCAATTCAGTCTCTCTAGATTTGCATTTTCATCCCATTTTTTAGTATCACGAGAATGGTATGAATCATATCATAATCATGACGAATTCTTTCATTTTTCAATGTAATATTCTTTCATTCATGTTTTCTGGGAAAAGAGATGATGAACTTCTGTAGCGAAAGTAATATTTGCATATTTAGGAAAATTTCCGGCAAAAATCCGAGGACCACTTGGTGTGGACAGACCCTGTAGTTCATTTAGTAAAGGTTCATCCCATGTTTGAAGAGGCTGGGTGCTGCGAAAAAAAAAGTAAGCGTCTAAAATAATCGTACCATTAATTTCACAAGTCAGCAACGTCGGCTGAACAAAAGCTACTTGAATATTAAAGCAATTACAAATTTTCCCGGGCTTCCAAGAGACTCAGCTGGTGCCAAGGGAAATTTATTTAGGGAAAGGGAGGTACAAGGTGAATTCTGTCAATCTGTTTCAAAATCCCTTAGTAAATCGCTTCCCATATGGGTTCTATTCTTAAATTAATCCAAGAGTTCAGATTCGTTCATCCATATTGTCGACAGCTACGGAGGGCACTTTAATTTCCAAGTTATGTCCCCATCCGAAATGTTATAAACTTGATTTCGGTGAGTTCATGGTTGAAGAGGGCAGATTTCTCGATTCACACACCATGTCCCTCTGGGCATCCATGCACATACGCTCTATGCGAATCCCTCCCCATGTGGAATGGCTCGGTCCACGTGTCTGTGTTCTCTGACCCGTCTCGGTCTTATGCTTTGGGCATGCTGTGAGCCGTAGTTGGAGGCGTAAAGCCTGAATATTGTATCAAAGGAACTCGGCAGCAAAGTACTCCTAGGACTTGTGCATTCCATATGCAATGGGTGGGAGAATACCGATCTGGATTAGTGATTGACTCGGAGAAAACTGTCATAAGTGGCGAGTGTCTGAATGGAGGGAGGTCACAAATGGTACCCCTCGAGGAGCTGCAATGGATCCTTTCCTCTTGTCCTCGTGGATAAGTGTGGAGAATAATTTTCTGAAGCTATAAGCAAGTTTGATGATGACCAGAAGTTTTTATTATTTTTTTAATATGCCTGCAGTTGGGGAACAATATCATGTGGAGGAAGTAGCACTGAAATGATCAAATTAGATTCATGGGCCTAGCTTTGAGTTGGGATTTGAAATTTAAAAGAACATATCCAAGGTTCTTTAGTATGATGTAGCCTGCAAAAATCCATGTTTGGATGAAGTCCTAATACCTGTATGTTTCTCCTTCAGTGCGTCTCACTGAGGAGTAGTTGTCAGCACTTACACTGATCAGCAAATCCAAGCAAGTCATGGGAATGATCAAATAAACCTATGTGTGTCACACAATGTCTTTGGGATACCCTGTTACAGGGCATAATGGCCCTTGCAAGACTTACGCTACCTGTTTGGAACTCAAAATTCCAGAAAGATGTAGCCCTTCTCTGTCTGTTTTCAAAATCATGGCAAAAATGGAATAACTCTGGACAGAGTAAGGTAGGTGGTTATCAAATTTGAAGAGGAAGTTGCAAGGAGGGGTGCAGAGTACTTGCTGCAGCTTCATAGGCCTACTCTGTAAACAGGCTGGATTCTTCTGACTGAGGCATACATGCTCTGCCAAGGAATCATCACCATGGAGTTGGACTTCACTATATGTTGATGCTTGAAAGGGATAAGGGCACAAGCAAAACTTTTCACTTTTTGCAGGAGATAAAAATAACAAGACTTCATGAACTGCTTGGCAAATACATGGGCTCTACTCATCAGTAATGATTAAGTGCATACCCCCTAACGAAATTGCACTCCCTCAGTCTCCAAGGTTCTCAGATGAATTCGACTGGAAGCATGCTACATTGATTGAGATTCCTTTTAAATATAATAAACCCCCCCCCCCCCCCTCCCAAACTAACCTAACCTGGCCTAACTTCAGGAACAACACAATATCCCTAGGGGGTATGCACTTAACCATAACCCTACTCATCACCCCCAGACCCTAGAATTGCAGTGGCTGGCATTTGTGCTCTTATATCAATAGGTAGGTATCATTCCATACAGTTGCTTGGTATTAGTAAACCTATTTTGTAAAAGATTTTGTTTGTGCCCTTATCCCTTCAAGTGTCAATGTACCTTAGATATGTCTTTATTAGGGGCCATTCCTCTCTGAAGCAGAGACCTGATTTCCAGTCACCCTTTACCTTCTCCCATTAAGTTGTTAAAATAGGAAAATATTTTCTGAATATAATCAGTACTCTTTCCATGAATGTGTTCAATTCAGGGATCAAAGTCAACTTGAAATACTTAATGTGTGGCAAGGAGAGTGCTGTTGCCAAAATAATCAGGGGAGGGGTATGTCTAGATTGAATAGTAGGCCTATGAACAGTCATAGTCTTGTGGATTGAAAGCTATTTCTATATGCATAGGTCTATGTTTTTCTTATGGTGCAGATATAATTGTGGATCTTAAGTAATAATGCAGCCCAATAGCCATCACTGAGGCAAAACATAAACTTGGGACAGAGGGAATAGTTCTGATACTCATGTATTGAGTAGCCCTCACCATGCTATCTGTGTTGAAGAAACTGAAAGCTCGTGGAGAACCAGGTTCTCCTTCTCCTGGTGAAAAAAGGATGCAGAATGTCACAGCAATGCCTTCATCCCTTCAAAAGAAGTTCTCCAAAGGTGTACAATATAACAGTGAGTTTCTGCCAAATTGTAGGAAGGGTATTTGCTATGTGCACTTCTCTCTCTTTCCTCTCCCTCCCCTTGACTGTCACTGCTGATGTGAATTTAACACATTTGCTGGCATTCTCTAAAGCTACTAGCCAGTTTTTCTGGTTTGTAAGGATATTTTTCAATTGTTTGTAACCTGAAAGAGTATGATCAAAACATTCAAGACCAACTGTTGTCCCTGACAGAGTAACTGTTTCATGAACAAGATCAGGTTAAATTCATATTGGAAGGCTTAATGAGTTTTCTTAAAATGCAAATGCATCCATGGCAATGAATGTATTAAGGTCAATATCCCCAAGCAGTGCATATGCAAAAACTGGTTGGCTACTTGAGTTAAAGTACCCTTGAAGTGGCTTCATTACTCTCTTCCAGTGAAAATTGTGATACGAGGGGATAGGAATGTTGGCAAGACCTGCCTTTACAAGCGACTCCAAGGGCAGCAATTCCAAGAGGAATATGTGCCAACTGATGAAATCCAGGTATGCCTACACTGTAAGATATACTATGAGGGCCATTCTAAAAGTCTTCAGGGTTGCTTGTTATTGCAGCAAACAATTGAAAGCACTTCATCTTCCTTCTTGTAGAGATGTGACAGTACTGATGCAGATGTTACTATGAAAGATGTGTTAGCCAACAGAGTTCCTCTAGTAAAGATTTTTAATGATTTTTAAATTTCACAATTTGCTAAATGGATCTTCCAGTAAAATTCTCTGAGCATTGAGTAACAATTTCACTGGTGAAATGTAATGTAATGTAATGTGCTGATGGGTTCTGGCATTTGGGAGTGATGAAACAGATACATTTGGAAACAACTTGAAGTTAAAATGAGGATCCCCAAAATTTATTTTAAAAAAAAAACTAGAACTCCTGGACAGTGCCCTACTGCAGTTTTATAACAGCATTGCTTCACATTTCCAGTGTCATTTGCTGGACATGGTTCATTAGTAGAACTGGGAAATCCTTGCATATCCACTATAACTATAGCCATGTAATTTGCTACCATTTGACTTTACCATCCTTTACAGTGAAGAACTTCAAATCTGTAACCTCATCAAGGTCACAGTCTTGATAATGTTGAAGACATTGTGTGAAGAGGATACTGCAATAGATGGAACAATATCTACTATGATAAATAGATGGCAGAAGTGCAATCATTCATGATTGATTATTTGTCTTTTTTAAATATTGAGCTATATGGATCTGAAATGATTGATTAAATTTACATTTCTACTTGTAATAGTCATTGAACAATACTCAAGACTTCTAGGATGACCCTCACTATGCTGGCTTGATTGATCACAAAATTATAATTAAGTCTTCCTGAAAATGCTCTTCCAGGTGACGTGTATCCAGTGGAATTTCAAAAACACAGAGGAAATCATCAAAGTCGATGTCTGGGATGTAGTTGATGAAGGAAAGGTCAAGAAGGACCCAAATGTTCCAGTTAAACTCAAAATGGCACATGATAAGCCAAGTGATGATGGTTTCATCCAGCAGCCAGTGTTGGATGCCAGTTTCCTTGATGTGTATAAAGATGCTCATGGTGTGATAATGATGTTTGATATGACCAAGAATTGGACCTTTCATTATGTCGAAAGGGAGCTGCGAAAGGTGCCAAAGCATATCCCAGTGCTTTTACTTGGCAATCATCGTGATATGGCTCACCATCGAACAGTGACAGACCTGCAAGTTACTGGTCTTCTGGAGGACTTGTTGCAGTGAGTGATTTTCACTTGAACATTCAAGATGACTAGTTCCAAGCCTCTTACGAGTGGCACTCCAAGATAGAATATTTAAAGATTGTATTTGGGGTTTAAGTATATACTGCTTAGAATTCCATACAAAAGGATGTTGGCTTTTTCAGCTTTTGTTGCAATTATGGCAGATGGCATGGAGATTGAGTTCATGATAACAAAGTGATCAAGACCCATAGAGAAACTGCCATAATGATTATACCCTTCTCACATTTCAGGGAAGACCAGGAGAGGGTGATCCATTATACAGAAGCATCAATGCGAAATGGATTTGGCCTGAAGTTCTTGCACAAGTTCTTGAGCCTTCCCTTCCTGTTGCTTCAACGGGAAACCCTCACTCGTCAGCTGGAGAGGAATAAAGAGGACATAGATATTGCAATCCAGGAACTGGATTTGTGTCTCCTCAATGAAGCTAATTCACGGTTGATGCCTATATCTATTTCATCTGCTTTTCCTCCTCTCTCTAATATTTTTACTGTGTGTTGCTCATGACTCACAGTCATTTTGCATTAAATATGCAGGTTTGAGGAGCCAAGGCAAAGAAGTCCTGGTACTTCCCACAATGTTGGAGTCTCATCTCCTGAATCAGATGAGGGCATTTCCTCATCCAGTAATCATGCAACTCCAGGTATACCTACCTCTAGCCTTTCATTCACCCTGCTTTGTACATAGGCAGGCTCATTCTGAAGTGAATGTGGCCACTTTAAAAGGACAACATTGACAATTGATTAAAGTGCAAATATTCACATTGAAAAGTTCAAAAAGATCAAGGATTTTCATTCTTTGTTTCTGATTGAAAAATGATAAAGAATGTTCACTATTCAACCAGAGAGTTGAGACTCTCAGCTTTCAGATGCAGTCCAAAGTAACAGTGAATTCATGTTTTCCTAAAGATAAAAGTGATCTGCAGAATTTTGTTTTAACAAGTTTGACTCTTTGTCATTATTGCAGGAAGAGTAGCAAATCACAATGCTCAGTCTTATTTTTCTTATTGACAGGGTCTCCTGTTATCAAGTCTAGTAGTCCAGAAGAAAACACTGTCAACAGTGAGTCCATCTACTTCATTGCTTTGAGTTCTTTTAGTAAGCTGAGGCCTTTAGGAATCAGTAGAGGCTGACATTGAGTGGAGCTTAATATTGAGTTGTTTGCTTGTGCTGAAATGGCATAAATGGGATTCTTCCACAGGCAATCATACAATTTCAAGAGAGTTCCCAACCCAAACAGCTACAGTTGGTGACTTTGTGCCTGAAGAAGAGTGTAGTCTTGAAAAGCAGAACTCTCTGGATGACCATAGTCAACATTCCTCAACACCACAGCAGCTGCCACAGAGTCTGGAATGTGAAAGGTGAGTCTTGAGAGGTTGCCAATACTGGATTAGAATGTTTAAAATGATATGTTAAAGTGGTTTGTTGATTCCATATTTGTTGGTTTTTGTCCATTGCCTGTTGACTCCTGTCCCAAAGAGTATTAACCTCCTTTCCCTTGGGCTGTAGAGTTTCCCCATCAATCATCCAACCTTCTGCCTCCTTCCTTTAATATCTCCTGATCCATGAACCTTTGATCATGTTTTTAGGACAAAAAGGGACTGGAAACCTTTCCCTCTTTTGTTTGCTGTTGCAAATAGATACGAAGTTAAATTATAGGGAGGCAGGGCCAGCAGATGTGGTGACTAAATGGGTTCAAATATCTCATAAGAGGAATTCCCAGGTTTGCATCAATATTTAGTGAAACCCATGAAACTCCCATTATGCAACTTTATGGCAATAGCAGTATTTTTCTTATATTTTGCATTACATTATTTTAATGATTTTATGCTTTCCCTGATGCATAGAATTTGATTTTAGAAGTATCTCAAAGAGAACTTGCTATGCGTTTTGATAAATATTGGCTATATAAAAAATATCTTTTGAATACCACAGGAAGACACATTTCAAGTTCCAACTCTTTTATTTTTGCCTGTGCCCATGTGTAAACATGTTTTCTGTCTCTTATTAAACTGATTTTTCTTTCATTTTGTCATCCCATGGAGCCAAGTATCCTAAGGGATACTTGTTCACTAACTAAGTTCACTAACTGGGATGTTTTATCTCAAGTTGTGACGTTTCTACTGAACTAGACATTCTTGTCTTCTTGAAAGCTTTTCCCTTATGAAGCAGCCTTCATAAAGCCACTTTTCCTTGTGAGCTTTAGATAGTATCAAGAAAAAAAACAAACAAATGGAGTCATGGAGATGTTTTTATTTGTGGTAGCAGTGATGGGGAAGGGAGTGATGAGGTAAACCCGATGGTAGCGGGTTTTCAGGATGATCTGGATCCAGAAGACTTCCATTACACCAGTCCAGGGACTCAGCATGCGGGTGCCAGTGATTCTGACTGATTCCTTTCTTCCATTTCTTTATATTCACCTTCTTGACCCCATTGTGGTTCAGAGAGAGGAATAGACAAGACAGTATGGCTGTCTTTGGAATACACCAAACCCCTAGAGTTCTCCTGAAGTGTGCTGGTATCACCCTCCTTTAAGGGATGTCTAATAGTCAATACTCACTGAGGCCCATCACCATCATGTTATTCCTATTGATAAGAGACTGTGATTTCATCATTGCTATTTTGTTTCATGCTGGTTAGAAGCACTCATTTGCCTATCATCTTATAGGGTACTGTTTTACCTTTATTTCCTCATCCCCTGCTGTGACAAAAAATTGCATGTGATCTGAGAGTGATCTCCTTCTAGCTTTCGAAGAACATTCAATTTTATATCATTGCAGAATATGATGACTAGGAATCAAGGGGAAAATTGGTAATATTCAAACTCAAGCAAGCACATGGAATCTGTAGTTTTTACTGAAAAATTTTATCACTGATTATTGTACCCTTGAGATCCATTTAATAAAGGGGTTCAAATTTAAAGCAGCAAAAAAGTACCATGAAAGAGAGATGTATTTGCAACAGGACAATGGAGATCCAGACTTGTCAGAGACAAGGCAGTGATCTGCAGGTTTGGCAAAAAAATGAGCCACAGAAGCAAACTATAGTTATCATGTACAATGCAAGAGCTGTGTTTCATGTCATTCCACTCAACCATTAGCAAAATGTTTTAAAGATAAATGTCTCTCTTAGGTGGGCACAGCCCCTGCATTCTCCCCATCAAATCCCATTTCACTGTGCTTTCTGGAAAAAAGCAAATGCTGTATTTGAGATTTTGTAGCTGTGTCCTTGTTTCTGTCCTCCTTCCTTCTTCTCCCCCTTCCATCACAATACTTCTTTCACATTACTCCAGAGAACTGAGAACCTCTTCAATCAACCAACTCTCACTCTGTTAGGCATGAAATAATGCAAGAAAAAATTAAGGAAAATATAAAAGCTCATCAATATGCTTTAGTATTCCAGAACTTCTTAAAGGATGTTTCACACCTTCCATATCATTTGTCCTTTGTATGAATGCTTGGGCAGGTAGGCAGATGCACATGTCCAGACACTTATCCACTTACATCCGAGGGTTTTCACAAAATGCAAGGCTAGCATTTTCAATTGAACTAATCCCAATTCCCCATGCAAGCCTTGCATTTTGTGAAAACCTTTGCATGTAAGTGGATATGTGTATCTACCTACCTGCCTAAGCATTGACACAATGGACACCTGACATGCTAAGTGTGAAACACCCTTAAGATCTTACCACTACCTGCACAAAAGATATGGCCCCTTGCTCAATTGGAAAATTTTTTGTCAGTGTGACTTTGCGAACACCCTGCACAATGAGGTTTTCTGTTATTGACTTTCTAATTAAAGTTTAAGTAATTAAATTTGATAAATTATGTATTCATGTTTCCTTAACAATTGCAAATCTGTGCCTCTGTTTTGTAACCAGTATCACATTGTATGTTGTCAAGCAGGTCTACGACACAGAATTGATTAAGAAATAGAGTGATGATCAAGCTTTGGAATTTGTGTGTTGTATTAATGAGTATGCTGGTTCAATTCAGTATTATGCCAGGGTGTTGGATTTGTACTGCCTCAGGCATGCAGTCAATGAATTATGATGCATTTTTGCATGTGATGGCCAATACCTCCTTCCATTGGGATGGTCAGCGTTAAGTGGAGCTTCTAGCATCATCAGATATGGATATGGATATTTATATTCAATAAAGAAAACTTTTAAATTTGTTGAACAAGGAGTTTGTCATTCAACAGCATGCTGAAGGCTGGAACTTGATCATTGGCTGAAAACTCTCAAGTCCATCAAATTTCCTACAAACTCCCCACTCCCTTATTGAGATCTGTGCTAGTATGGGAATCAAGTTTTCCATTTCTGGACATGCACTTCACCGTCAGGCAGAAATTATCGAACCGATTTTTATGAGACACACCGATGGAATCGTCTCTCTTCATGCACCTTCTGTACTATTCTGTACAAGGTTGAAAGTATTTAGAAGTTACCTTTAAAATGTACCTTGCTACAGTTACTATACAGCTAGCAATAACGAGTGACGAGTAAAAGTCACTTCAGAAAGATGGTTGAGTATATATATGCCGGGTGAGACAAAAAATAGAGCCGCTCTTAGAAATCCTGAGGTATTTAAATGACAGCAGGGAGTAAGGAAAGTTTTACTTGGCAATTACTTTTTTTAAATTCTTTGAGCATCCTATATTTCTTGCCCATTTCTCTCGAGTCGTTTCACCACACGAGCGATTTTGCAAAAGCAAATTAGATTCATTTTCGCGTAATTAAAATTTTTTTACGTGAAAGTGGTAGGTGCGTGCCCTTCGCGCCGATTTCGGACGATTGAGACGCGGAGAGTTCCATTTTCTCGGACATATTGAGATCTGTCCGAGAAAATGGAACTCTCCGCGATAGGTGAAGCAGTGAACATTGCCTGTTATTTCGAGGAAGGATGGGGTGATATAAGAATAGCTTAGGAATTTCCTGGCAAAGGATGGAAGAAATGAAATGAATGATTCAGGACCTCCGAGAAACACATTCGTCAGATGTGAAGCAGGGAGTGGCAGACCAAAATTAACTTAAACTAAAGATCGATGGAAGAAGCCATCGTTTCCCGGGTATGATAACTAGGGGACACAGAAGTTCAAGCACCACAGATATCGAGCGAGTCCGAGGCTGTTCAGTGGAATTTGAAGTTCAGAAGGAAAATTGCCTTGAAAATAATTTTCAGTCTTGCAGGTCCAGTGTTCCAGTGTGACCGCAAGTATTAAATTCAAATGCATGTGTAAAATCGCTCTTGTGGTAAAATGGCTGGAGCCAAACGGGTGACAATTTGCTTATGCTAAGAGGATAAATAGAGATACACAAGAAAAACTTCCTCTCGCTGTGTTTTATAACCACCTTGAACTTTTCAAATGATTCTTTCATGCCACACCCGGTGTTTAGGGGCAACTTCGGATAACAGGTCATCATTATCCGCTAAGATGGCCGGTAGGACTCGCAAAGTTTTAAATAACCTTCGACTCACATGCGTTAACAAATTTTTCTGCGTACAAAATGCGATTCTCATACGAATTTCAAACTGAGGTAACTTCGCAACTATAAAATTATGAGAAGTGGATCTGTAACGAGTCTTTCGTCCGTTTAGAGACCGTACTCGCCCAGAGTTTTGGTACTGGTATAAAGTATTCTTTACAAACACCAATTTCTCGATTTTGAGAACACTGCAGATACGCATTACAAGTATTCAAACTCCCCAACACCTAACTGCTTCTCTAGCACTGCTGAAAAGTACATCTCACGCAAGCATCGAGCAGATCTTACTAAGTGAGCTTTAGTTTCACTAAACGGCTTGTCTTTTCTTTCACGAGAGAACATTGAAAATTTCGTGGGAGGTCCTACCTTTTATTGTGGAGTACCTGGAAATTTTGCAACGATCTCCTTTTCGAAAATCGACCTTCTCGGGCTAAACATCTATCAGCCATTTTTGAAAATCGTGTAGTAGGCCATCTTGTGACAGTTTGCACAAAGTGTCGGTTGTTTATTCACTCCTTCCTTCTGTACTGATCAGTGGCGTGCCTAGGAAATCTGAATTGGGGGGGGGGGGGTCGCCATATGAAACACTGATTACCCACCCTAATGGGGGGGGGGGTGAACAAGGGGGGGGAGTCGCCATATGAAACACTGATTACCCACCCTAATGGGGGGGGGGGGGGGTAACATGAAAAAACTGATAACCCACCCCGTATTTGTGTCCAAATAAAGAAATTTTTGAGGATCGAACCTGTAAAATTGACCCCAAAGGGGTCAATTTTATTATGACCCCCAAACCCCCCCCCCCTTGGGCACGCCACTGGTACTGATATGCTGGCGGCGTTGGCTTCTTTTCGATGATGGAAACGCCAAAAATCGCATAGGGGTAAATATAGACTTTAAGGGGGATGTGTGATGGCAATGGCACCATTATGAGCTGCTGTTGCAATTTAAGGCCTGGCGTTGTGTCGATGCGGCCGTCCATAAAACGTTGATGCCACTACAAAACGGCAGATTTTTACGGTTCCTTTTGAGATTCTCCGCCGAAGGTTTCATGGATGAGGCTAGAAGTCTCGGTCGTTGATTTCTTAATTACAATTGAAGGACGCATCGCAGTTGAACTGGAAATACTGTCCTCGTCCGCCATAACTAAAATGGGTTTTTCAATTGCGTTTTCTTGAAAACACAGTAAATGAAGCAACTCCTCTCTATCGAAATCCGTCAATTCCTGGGAGCCTGTTTCGTCGCCAAAAAGTCTTAGGATGCCTTATTCGTCGCAGGTCTCACTCATCGATCTGCCAACAGGTCCTACAGCGAACCCGTCGCTTGTGGATGTAGCTGTTAACCTTTTGGGCCACGGATGGTGCGGGGAAAATTGATAGTATAAGGGGCTGGCAACCTTCAGATACCTTTTTCGATTGCTACGTTCGAAAGAGCGTGCACTTCGAAGGCTGCAGTGACGGTGCAGGAGCAATGTAGTGTTCATGGCCATGGCAACCTTCGACTTCGTCCCCAGCGAGAGAGGTAGGAATAGGTTGTCTTTCGATGGATTCTTATATAAACGTGAAAGGATGTGCAAAACCAAGATCATTGGTGACGTTATATCCTTCTCTGCCAAGTACGAATGCCTGGAAGGCGTGAAACAGAGCACTAAGCAAGTCTTTTAGTTCCTCTGGCAAAATTGTGCGGGTGGCTTCATCAGATCGACCAGCTCTTTCCTTAATGCTCTTGATCTTGGTGACCGCATCGACGCGAGCTTTGTACGAAGCATGATGGTATTCTATGTTTGACTATACCAGCTTAGTGACATCAGTATCTCTCTTTACTAGGTCTAATCTCGCACCGCCAAATGATCTTGGCTTTCCGCATTCTTTCATGTGAATGTAAAATCTAAAAATCCATGGAATGACAACTAGAATTTGACGATTAGATTTGATAACTTCGAACGATAACCCATAATTTGGATTTCTCACGAAAGGCACACCTACACTATGTTACAAAAACCTCTGACGTTCTAGGTTCTTGGTTCTAGGGAACCAGACTCCGGACACCATTACCGTAATCTAATTGACATGCCGTGATGAGACTCGGCATTCCTGAAGACTACGTAACGGGAATGATGTGTCGGCTACGGTATTTCCGCTACGAAGTGTGTTGCGACGAATTGTCGTAGTACCCTCTCTACTGCTACTGTGAGCTAACTACAAGATAACAAAAATGGTATTAGGGTCAGCCGTGCTGTGGCGTTTCCGCGCCGCTAGTCCGCGTAAACCCCTTCTGGGGCCCGTTCCTCGCCTGTGCTAAACTTAAATCTAAATCTAAATCTAAATCTTAGGCTAAATCTTGGTCTAAATGGTCAGGGCGAAGAATAGACTTTTTGTTTTTAGACTGCTTTTAGATTTAGATTTAGATTTAAGTTTAGCACAGGCGAGGAACAGGCCCCTGGAATACCAAAAGTACAGAGTAGTTCTAGTTTTAAAAAATATCACAGGCTAAACCGTGAACCATTTCATGCAAATGAGGCGCCGATGTAATGAACGCATCCCAGGGATGTGCCTTCAGGTGCAATGACATGCTCGTCAAAAACGTATTCTCCGCACCATAGAGGATACACTTGCGTTCATCACATTAATGTCGACAGACAGGTCATTCCTGGATTGAAACTTTCGGGTCTCACGTAGAAACACGCAGCGAGCCAGAGATCAGAATAATGAAAATTATCACCAACATTGCGTTGCACAATTCAACTGCTGACTCTCCACAGCTTCAAAAACGATTAGAAAACAAGACAAAAACGATAAGACCTCAACTACGAGTCATAGATCAGACCTTCGAAGATTCATCTGCAAATATATCGGGCAATGCGGAAACAGGATTTCTTGCTAAATCTATCATTACTATGGACTGATAGAGAATGAGAGAGAAGGCAAAGGAGAGAAAAAGAGAGAGAGAGAGAGAGAGAGAGAGGTGCGAAGTGCATTAGGTCCATATAGCCAGAGGCTGGTTCTCTCTCTCTCTCTTTCTCACTCTCTTCTGCTTATATTC